GAGAGGAGAGGAGAGAGAGAGAGAGAGAGAGAGAGAGAGAGAGAGAGAGAGAGAGAGAGAGAGAGAGATTGGTATCACATTTATTAATGACTAGCATTTGTGACATTGTGCTCTTGGATATCTTTGGGTTTCTTTTGTTATTAAAATATATTAATAAGGAAAATCTGATTAATTTGGCAGCCGTGGGGCCAATTTTATAACTCAGATTTTGCTGAGACCAGGAGCATCGGACTTAACAGGAAGCTTCAGGTACAGTGTTTCTTCTATATCTGGAACTTTTCCTTTGATTCCTTGCTTTAAGAGGCTGTTAAGCAGCCGGGCAGTAGTCAACCATGCCTTTAATCCCACCACTTGGGAGGCAGAGGCAGGAAGATCTCTGAGTTCCTGGCTAGCCAGGGTTACTCAGAGACCCTGCCTCAAAAAACAAAAACAAAAAACAAAACAAACAAACAAAAACACTGTTAGGAGAGCTGCTTTCCCAGCCAAGCATGTCAATCCCAGCATGCAGGAGGTGGAGGCAGATGGATCTCTGAGTTTGAGGCCAGCCTGGTCTACATAGTAAATTGCAGGCCAGGGCTACAAAGAGAGACCCTGTCTCAAAATCCTCCACCCCCCAAAACACAGCTGCTTTTCTTCCACACTGACTGTTAGCAGACTGGACCTCCAAAGAACCTTGTTAAAGGCAGGCAGCGTGTTAGGCTCTTGCTCTCCAAGCTGAATTTGGCATACTTGTTTACCTCATTGCTGGGCTGGCTGCCCATTGGAAACATGGCTGTTGCTGGTATGCTCTGAAGAACAGCACATTCATATCCCAGCCATAGCATCCTCTGCAAGAAAGCCTGAGGTCCTTACTATTTCTGCTTTTCAGTTACCTTGTTCTCTCTATAAGTGAGTCTCTCCCGTCTGTCTTACCCACACTTAAAATCTAAGACACAGGAGCTGGGGTAAGACTGGAGGAGAGTTGGTTTCCAGGTGATTCCCTGGGTCTTCAGAGAACATAACTATGCCAAACTGCCACTTTTAGCATGCGTGTGCATACGCACATGAGAGAGAGAAATAAAATTCAAAAAGAAATTGTAGCCTCCCTACCTATTGTTTTAAATAAATAAAACCCCTTCTAAAAACTGATGCTTCCTGCCGCTTGAATTTACTGAACAAAAGGACTGGATTCCCTACACGACTTCTTCATCTTTATAAACTGAGTGAGCCATGTGCTTGAATGGTGAGGTGTGCTTGACCTAAGGGATTTGCCTACCACAAATGCCTGTAACCTCAATTGTTCACAGAAGTCTGCAGGATGGCCTCCATCCTGTGATGCCTAATCCTGGTCTAACCTAGCTCACCCATAGTATTAACAGCTGTTCCTGGGGTGGCCTGATTGTCCTCAGGACCTTAGCCCATGTTGGCAAGCAGATGCATGTTAACTGCTGGGCTGCTTGTCACCATGGTACGTATCATCACTCCCATCTGTCAATTCTGCCATTCCAGCATGTCCAGTTCAAAGGCTGATGTTAAAGCAGTTTCAAAGCCAAAAGTACAGGTGCTTGTGTATCAGTGGCTAACTTACCATATTTTCATAATTCCTAATAGTATAAGTCTCAGGAAGACACTAAGAACTCGTTTTCAAAAGTATTCCAAGCTCTTATAAGGTACATCTTGCCCAAGACACATGATCATAAGCTCTGAGAACTTGTGTATCTACCAGTGACTACTGAGAGCTTTAGATTATAGACACCAGTGAGTTCTGAAAGTTCAGCATATGTGTGACAGGCACGTGTCCAGATGTTTATAAATACTCTGTTTTCTTACAGATTATACCGAAAAGAAGTTCTACAGAAATTAATAGAAAAATGTGTCTCCAAAGGCTATGTCTTTCAGATGGAGATGATTGTTCGAGCAAGACAGTTGAATTACACCATTGGTGAGGTGAGTGAGTTGCTAAGTTCTGTGTCCTACTCCCCAAAAACAGAGGTTTATAAAAGCATAGCTCTCCTAA